TAAGTACACAGGATGGGCGGTTATTTATTTGTTTTTAATTTATTTTGTCATATTTTTGTAAAACGGCAGAAATGCAATAAAAAGTTTATTTCAACAGTGCTCGAGGTCAGAGCGGTGGAGAGACCTCGGGGGATCCGTAGCCGGTGGCTGGGCACCCGGTTCTCCCAGGATGAGGCCTCAAGAGGACCCAGGGAACCCATCAGGGTGGCGATTTCGGGGCCTGGGTCCAGATGCATGTACGTGGCACGCTATGCCAGATGGGGCTTAGGGATGGTGCACTCATGAGAGTGCCCAGAACAGAGGATCCGCACCAGTAACAGCCCACTGTGACTTGGTCCAGAGATCATCCTGGCCAGCCTGCAGGGACCTGGGAGCTCAAGTGGCGCTCCCGAGGCTGCACAGCGGTGGCACAGCAAAGGCAGAGGGAGACAGAACTTCAGTGTGTGTATGAAAGTGGATGCCACCTGAGACAGGACACAGGAGGAAGGGTGTTGCGGGGTGCTTGGGTTGGAATGCACAAGGGTTAATGGGACTGCCAGGATCTAGTCACTGTGTGAGGCTGAGGTGCTACTGGGGTCAGAACAGCAGGCCCCGGTCGGTGGGGTCACAGCTCCTGGGGAACATGGATGTCTTGGGCCTTGCCCACAAGCAAGGAACCCAGAACCCCTCTTACCTGCGGCGTGTACCATGCCACAGCTGAGGGTGCACAACCACTCTAGTCCAGGGGACTTTCCTTCCCTACCCTCAGGACAGTGGGGCCACCTCAACCCCCAGCAGTGTTCCCCAGCTTAAGGCTACTGGGCCCAACTAGTCTGGTGCAGGGGCCTCCAGTGGCCAGAGACTAGTCCTGGCAGGCGGGCCTCCCACATGATGCCCACGATGGGTGGCTGTCAGCCCTGTGCCACTATCCTGGGTTCTGTCTCCCAGGGAATCGTGACCCCAAGGACCCCTGGGCAAGGAGGTGCGGCAGTCAGTCCTATGCCAGTCACTCCGGTCCCAGTGGCTCCAGCAGAGGTGTGCGGACCAAAGACGCTGGGTGAAGTAGGAAAGATCCTTTTATTGGGATGGAGGAGGAGCACGGGCTAGTCCATGATAAAATGACTTGAGAGAAAGATCCAGAAGGGCCGGCTCTCTCCTGCCCTGGCGTGGGCTCAGAGTAAGGGCTGGCATGGGAGGGCCCCGGGAGGTTCCGGGACCAAGACCCGGCCGCCCTATGGGTGGGAACGGGAAGGAGCGCTCGAAGGCCACTCGCTTGTTGGGAGACCAGGCCGCCCCGGACTTTGGACCCTGGTGTTGTCTCTGGCGGGTGGCCGGGTGGGGGACACCACTGAGCTTTAAAAAAAGCATCTACCGACACCTCACGGCGCTGGGCCTGACGTCCCTTTAACCAATGCTTGACACGAGTTACAGCATAAATAAAAACTCAAGGAAAATAAATACATGGGTCCTATGAGGTTGGAGGGTGCGGGCTGGGTGTAGGAGGCAGGCTGCGCTTACACACGCGGGCAGGAACGGACAGAGCAGACCGACGCGGGGCGCTGTGTGGGGCCTAGGTGTCCTCGGGCATGTCGGGGCTGTCGGTCCGGGCCACCTTGCGTGGTGGCGCTGAGCTCTCGCCCTCCGCCTCCACCTGTTCTTGGTCTCTCTTCTTGGCAGCGTTCTGGAGGGGTGGAGGGGGAGAGGCTGGAGTGAGGACAGCATGGGACAGCCAGTAGCATGGTTCTTTCTCCCTCACTTCCCCACCCCACCCCACAGCGTTTCTACATAGCTCTGACTGTTGCTGTTCTGAAACTATGTACACCAGGCTGGCCTCAAACACAGAGATCCTCATGCCCCTGCCTCATCACCATGGGGACACCCTGCACAGTAACTAGGGCAGGCTGCATGGGTGTGTTTTTTTACATACTACCTAAGGTAGCACAGGCCTGCTGCCTATCACTTGAGAGTCAGAAGCAGGAGGATCACACTGTATGAGGACACCCTGGACTCACAATGAGACCAGCCTCAAAAAAACCAAAACAAACAAACGCATGGTCTCATGCACCTCATGCTGGCCCCGAGCACCCTCCCAGCTTCCTGAATGCTGTGCTAACAGGCATGTACCATTTTGTCATAAATACATTTTACCATTACAGTAAAATGTCAGAAACAAGAGACATGGTTTGACAATTGGGTGCTAGCTGTGCAGTGAAGAATGCCAAGTTCATCCTCACTCTCCCCAGTCCTGGTCACCAGAGCTTCTACTCAGCCCTCAAGGCCCCACTCACACATCCCCAGCCAGGAAGCTTGCCTTTTTGTCCCATTGCTGGTGCAGGTAGCGCAGGAGGATGTTCGTCTTCTCTGTCACAATGACTGAGGAGCAAGGAGACAGCGTGAGAAAGATGGAGGTGCTACAACCTCCACCTTGGCCTCCAGGTCTGCCTCTTTTTCTGCATCCCTTCTGAACACACAGCTGAGCCACAGTCTCAGGCTCCTGGGGTAGGACCTGCCCTGGGCAGCTCGCTTTGGAACACCCTAGGGTTTTGTCCTGGTTTTGGTGCCAAGGATGGAGCCAAGGTTCTGGAACTCAGGCCAGCACCCTGCTGCGGAGCCCCCGCCCCACTCCTGTGCACTCCCAGGGTTCATCTGAGACAATACCAGAGGAAGTACACACGTCAGGCTATAGCGAGGTTCAGTGCTCAGGATGAACCCACAGCCTCACCCAAGCCAGGGAAATGCACTGCCCATGAGCCTTGCTCCTTTCCTGGACGGATCTACTTTTAAGAATTTACTTGTAAATCTCTGTGTGTGTGTGTCCGAGGAAGCTACAAGAGGGTTCTGGGTCCCCTGCTGAGCTGCACTGTGCCTGGGCTCCAGTCCCCTGCAGTGTAGCTACCCCGAGAGTCTGTGCAGCCCCTTGCATGGTTTTTAGCTTGTGCTAAGTGGGTACATGTTCCAGTCAGAGGACAACGGTGGGAGCCAGTTCTCTCCTCCTACCATATGGATTATAGGGACTGCCATCAGATTCTCAGGCCTGGTAGCCATCTCATGGAAATCAGCATTTTTGGACTGTTTGTTTTTTAAGACAGGGCCTTACTATATAACTCTGACCTGGACCTTGCTCTATAGACCAGGCTGGCATCTCTGCTTCCCAAGTGCTTGAATTAGAGGTGTGTGCCACCATATCTGGCTTCCTTTTATTTTTTTTAATATTTATTTATTTATTTATTTATTTATTATGTATACAATATTCTGTGTGTGCCTGAAGGCCAAAAGAGGGCACCAGACCTCATTACAGATGGTTGTGAGCCACCATGTGGTTGCTGGGAATTGAACTCAGGACCTTTGGAAGAGCAGGCAATGCTCTTAACTTCTGAGCCATCTCTCCAGCCCCATGGCTTCCAGATTCTTGATTGACAGTCAAACACTAGGCCCTTGCTCTCCTATGCCACAGAGACCATGGCCTGGACACCATTGCCCACAGGCCCAGTATGGTCACTGCTTCCCCCCACTTCCACAGCCACAAAGACTCTGACTTATGGTCTCTGTGGGCATGTGGAGGCAAGCATGTGGGTGCATACCTGCCTCAGCCAGAGATCAATATTGGCACTGGCCCTCACCTTCCCTTTGTTTGCTGGGCTCTCTTGTTCTTTGTGCCAGGCTGGCGGGTCCTAGGTTGCCCAGTGGGGCGGACTCCAATTACAGAGCCCTGCCAAGGTGCCTGACTCGCACATGGGTTCCAGGGATCTACCAGATTTGAACTTCTGCTTCTCCTGCCTCAGCATCCAGAGCTCTGGGATAGGTGTGCTCAGCCCGCCTACTTCACGATGGAGCCCAGGGCTCTATCCCCCAGCTTGGTCCCAGCTTACAGTCTTGATACACAGATGGCAGGGGTCACCCAACCTGATCTGCAGGGAGGACAGCCCAGCTTGGGTCACCCTGGCCCCTCCTGGCTGTTGTGGAGGACGAAGTGCTGCAGTACTCACTCTGTTCTGACGGGTACTCTCGGGTCGGCAGGTACACTGAGGGACGGCGGTTCTGTGAATGGGGAGGGGGGGTTAGCTGGCAACCCTTGTCCTCAAGACAGGGATGCCACCCCCAGCCCCACACTCACCGAGGCCTTGCACACGGAGTCCGCGTGGAACCTGCTGAAGTTACTCTTGTTGTAGACGGGTAAGCCTTTCAGAAAGTCTGCCTGGAGACATGGGTGGGCGTGAGGCCTCTGATGCAGTCTGAGAACACACCTGGGCTGCCACCCACTTAGTCCTCCACTGCTTGAGAGGCAAGGGGCTCTCCCAGGGGTCTCACATCACCTGTGACCAGGCCAGAGGGAACCTGAGACTGGCCGTTTATTAAATACCTTTTCTACATGTATTCACTGTGCTCTGTGTGTCTGTGTGGGGAGGGTAATGTGTGCCACCATGGGTGTACTCACTCCTCCTTCCACCATCAGGCCTGCCCAGCCATGCCCACCAGAGCTGTTTAAAGGGACACTTCTTCCAGGCGCAGTAGTGCATGTCTGCCATCTCCACATCCATGAGGCTAGAGCAGGGCCCTTCTCAAAACAACAACCAAAGCAATAATGAAGCCAGGCAGTGGTGGCACACGCCTTTAATCTCAGCCCTTGGGAGGTAGAGGCAAGGATCTCTAAGTTTGAAGGTAGCCTGCTCTATATAGCAAGTTCCAGGGCAGCCAGGGCTCTGCAGAGAAACCCTGTCTCGAAAAATCAAAAAAGCAAAAGAATATTTCAGAAGATGGGCTTGGTGGTGTCCGAGCACTCAGGTGGGGGTGGGGCAGAGGCTGCCTGGCCTGGGAGCCTGTCTCACAGCACACACCAAGGGAGCTGGCTGCTGGGCAGGTAACCCTGTCTCGAACCCACCTAGCTCAGGGAGCCAATCAGGATGTTTGCTCATTTTCCAAATGTCACTCAGGTCTGGGGAGGGGTAGTGGATGAAAGTGCACAAGTCTGTGACCCTGGTGTGATGCCTGCATGACGTCACCGTGTATGCCCCGGTACAGATGGCCACAGGGCCCATCTTCCCTGTGACATCCCTAAAGCTCAGGTCTGGCCACCTGGGTGACCTTATGGTGATGCAGAGGTGCCTGCCCCGCCCCCTACCACTCTGCCGGCCTGGAATGTGGCTAGGCAGCCTCAGTGTACCTGTTCTCTGTCTTGTGGCCAGCTTCCATGTCCCAAGAGCTGCTCCTGACCAACCCAGGGTGCAGGCTCCAGTGGCCCCCCCCCCAGGATGCCCTGGCCAGGCCATCAGTACACACTTGAGGGGTGGAGGGTGGGACTCCAGAGCAGAACTGAGGTGTTTGGGGCCATTAGCCCAGCAGGTGCTGTGTGTGGCCTGGTGGCAGAGAGCAGCTAGTCTGGGCTCAGGGAGCTTCCCTGGGGCTCATGTAGAAGAGAGCCTGCCCTGCTTATGTCCCCACAGCTGCCATCTCACCCCAGCTCCACAGGGACACCCAGTCTCAAAATAACAAATAAGCAATCTCGACTCTTCCCACTGGCACTGGCTGGGTGGCCTGATCTCACCCTTGTAACATGGTGTACCACCATCTGGGACACACCCTACAACTCTCCCACTATCTCAGACCACTTGCCTGAGCTGTCCCATACTGCAGTGTGTGTCTGGGCTGGGCCCTGGCAGAGCTTGGAGAGGACCCTATGACACCACACCAAATCCAGGCCTGCTGCAAGCTAAGTGACTTCCTTGCCAGGCTGCAACCCCCCGTGCAGTGCACTGCTACCTCTAAGCACAGCTCAGTCAAAACAGCCAGGGCAGAAAGTGGGAACAGAGGTCCCTTAGGGCAAGGCAGGGACATGTATCTGTCTGCACTTCTAAAGAAAAGATAGGGCCTCCTAAAGTGAGCTGGCAAACAAGGCCTCAAGACAAGGGGCCAGCTCCCTCACAGGCCTTTGGGGTCAATGGAAGCTGTGTTCCAGGAGGTCAGAGGCTATGGTGGAGGCGAAGCTGGTGCAAAGGCCCTGGGACAGCAAGAACTTGGGAGCCCGAGGAAGAGAAAACAAGGCAGTGTGGCTTGCTGAGCAGCTGGAGATGAGGTCACAAAGGGCATTGCCCTGAACGGAAACCAGGAGCAGATTTGCCACTGGAGCCCCAAGGATGCTATATAAGCTACAAAGTGTACAAAATGATGTCTTTGAAAACCCCTGATTCTAGGTGAATTAAAGATTGCCAAAGGGTTGGGATGGGAAGGGGTAGAGAGGAGGCTGGAACAGGCCTCTAAGTGAGAAGTGGCGGGCTCAGCAGCAGGGTGGGTGCCCTGGGGAGAGTCTTGGTACAGGGAATAAGACTGCGAGGTGAAACGGAGACCCCCACAGTCATGTTTACCCCTTCCAGGACCTCTTCTATATGATTCATTACTATTCTTCAGGGTGTGGGCTGGGATCTGGACTCTCCTCTGCTCAAATCTGAGGTATGGCTTCATCCTGAGTCAGAGAGGAGAAGCCCTCATCCCAAAGAACTACGGGGACCACGACCCCTGAGAAGGTTAGAAGCGCCCATCAGGTCACAGGGATCACCCCTCTTGAAGATTGGGGGTGCAGCCAGGGGAAGGACGTCCCCCAGCTCATCTATGGGCGGGCCCCTGCCGGTGGCTAAGGGGTGGGCACCCTCATTTTGCAAACAGGGAGACAAAGCTCTTCCCTCGTTAAGAACAAGTGTGGGCTCGACAGAGAGGGGTGGGGACCTGGGAAACGGGTCTGGCGCGATGTCGCACTTCCTTTGGTGACAAAGCCCTGCATGACACGGTGACAAGCCCCCTCGCAGCCGGGCTGCCCAGACCCGCCCCTCAAACGCCCAGAACCCGAGGAGCCTCGTCGAGGAACAGTCCGGAGCGGGGGTCTCGAGGGACCCCACCCCACCCGAAGCGATTTCCGGGGCGGGAGGGGACACACACACACACACACACACACACACACACACACACACACACACA